GGCCTCCCCCCCCCCCCCTCCCTTCTCCCTCAAAAAAAAATAAAAATAAAAAACAACAGAAAAAAAAAAAAACCATCCGTCATAGCTAAGGACCGGCTTGGGCCATCGCCGGTTGTCACTTCTCCGCGACGCCGCGGTGTTTGACGCCGCTCCGAATCCCGGCTCATGATTCCCTCCATCCCCCATTCTCGTCTCCTTAAGGGCCACTCTCTTTATGTAATAATTAATTATGTGATTAACTTTCAGGCGCGATTTACGACTCTGTCCATGTAGGTAAACGAATAGTGATACTAGTACTGTGCTCTTTGGTCTTACAGGGGTATCACAATGCAAAATGCAGATTGCCAAATAAATAACGCCTGCCAGGCCACCGTGAGGCATTGCCTTTCCCCTTGCATCTTTCCAGTCGTACAATATTATGCGCTCCCTGCAAATCAGTGTTTGGCCTCCTGTGCCGCCGTCTGCTTCTGAGCCTGAGCCTGGGCCACACAGTCTTTTGATGATGGGCTGCCCAACGTGCTGAGATACTTGTCCAATTCCCCAGCATCAGTTAGCGCCAGATACGACGCCTCAAGTTGCCCAGACATGACAGCCCAAACAAATCTGTCCTGTTCAACAAAATTTCCAAGCGCCCGCCAATGTTGATTATCTGGCAGAAACCCAAACTTGCGGCCCTTGCGAATTGCATCTATCGTCTCAATCACCTTTTCCACAACTTCGAACCGCGGCGTATCCAAGTACGCAAGAGATTCATTTGGGATGGTCTCTAGCTTCTTGTACAACTTTTCCTTAAACTCTGCCTTGCCCGGATTTTTAATCTGAGAAATGAAGGGGTTCATCGAGTGTTTCGCCGTCGAACCTGGTGATCCAGACACGGGTCTGTTCTGCCCAACTTCTTGTTGTTTCTTTGCCTGCGGAGCTTGACTTGTGTCCTTTCCAAAGTAGGTATGAGCCCCAAGTATGGGGAGGAGAAACGGCGTTGACACAGCGGTTCCCTACGGATATGGTGGTTAGTGGATGATCACGATGGTTCAACAGACTCGAAAACGTACCCCGGGAGCACTTATAGACGGAGGCAACACCGTGCTTTCAATTATCGATCGCAGTGCTGGTGCTGGTGGCGCTTGGGGTTGGGGTTGGGCTTGGTTTTGGATAAGTGAGGTCACGCCTATCGGAATGTCGGTAGCACCATCCAAGGTTCGCCTGACCTCAACCACAGTCTCATTATTCTTTGAGGATGAGGAACTCTGCTCCTTATATGAGGCGTGATGTCGAAACTGCCTCTCTTCCATCTCTCGCTGCCTTCTCCTATATTCTTCAGGATCTGTCATTCGAAGTGCGTTCAATGCAGCCATGTCGTTAGCCTCCTTTTGCTCCTCCGCCGACAACGGAGCCTTAACATCCTCTTCCTCAAAAGTCTCGGTGGACATGATCTTGCGAATAGCATCATTTTCGGTACCATACGCAATTAATCTGTCAAGAATAGAGTCTCTTCCTAGAAACTGTGTCAAGTTCTCTTTCCTGATTTCTTTGATATCATGCTTGAGTTCTGTCACTCTGTTACCCCAGCTGATTGGGTTTTTCTTGTCAACAACTCGAGTCGCCAGCTGTGTCTTGAAAATCGCTCTCCCATGAAGGTCTTGTTCAAACGTTCCTGCAGTAACAAAATAGTAGACACTGACAGGCTTGCTTTGGCCAATTCGATATGAGCGTCCGATAGCTTGTTGCTCGTGCACCGGATTCCACTTAGAATCAAGGATCACCACTTTGTTAGCGCCTTGGATATTGAGACCTACGCCGCCGGCTCTTGTGGAGATAAGATAGAGCTCTGTTTGATTTGCGTTGAACTTCTTGATCTCATCTTGGCGTTTCGCTATAGGGGTACCACCATCCAGACGGCTAAAGCAGCGCTTCTGCTCTTGAAATAGCTTAGACAAGTAATTCAACGTGGGTATTGAGTGACTGAACACCAGCACTTTGTCTTTCGACCTTTTGGCATCATCCAATATTTGTATGAGAAGCTCAATTTTTGTGGACAAGGATGGACATCTGGCCTCCACTCCGGCAAACTCTGCTAACACGGCAGGTATGATGCTGGGAGGAAAGCCTGCCCTTGGCTTAGATTTTGTCTTGTGTGAATCCTGGCTCTCGATCGCCTTTTCGTAGAATGCATAAGGGTGATTGCAGAGCAACGTAAGATCGTTTGTGACACGAAAGACTGCGCCTTGCAATTCCGCCTCGCCCTGTATATCACCCACTGATTCACCACGAATGACTTGTGCAAAAAGATTATAGAGCTTGACCTGCAAAGGCTTGGGCTTAACGCAGAGAACAAACTCCTGTTTCGGCGGCAAGTCTTTTTGCATGCAGGTTTTCATTGTGGCCCGATGTACTTTTGGGGACACGATCTGTTTCAGAGCCTCAAGCTTTTTCAATGCTTTGCGTTTATCGACGCCTGAGCTTCCTTTATCCACGCCGTGCTGTATAGGATTCGAATAAATTTCACGGAACTCTTCCACAGGACCGAGGAAATTTGGAGCTACCCAATTGATCATGAAGTAATATTCCTCAATATTGTTGGCCAGGGGTGACCCGGTCATAGCGATCCGACTGGTTGCTCGAAAGCGGGAGCAAACCAAGTGAAGCTTCGACTTAGGATTCTTGAGCGTGTGAGCTTCATCAGCAATAACAATGTTTGGCTCGTCAAAAATAGATAGCATAGATCGTCCTTTGTCTAATTCAAGCGACACTTTTCGCAGCATGGGATATCCGATGACCAAAACACCACCAGTCTGGGACCACTCTTGAACGACACTAAGGCGATCTTCTATAGAAAGCGTCGAATCAATCACATGAAGATCTCCAAGAATTCGGTCAGTGTCCCAAGTCAGAATCTCGTCCACCCAGTTATTCACCAGCCCGGCTGGGCATGTCACCAGGGTCTTTGACCGACGAAGGTCTTCCGGGATTTGCGAGACTATACTCTGGTCGGAAGACTTGCTTGATTCTTGAATCGCCACAAGCAGTGTGATGACTTGCATTGTCTTTCCGAGGCCCATACTATGCGACAGGAGGCATCCTTGGCGAAGTTCAGGATCCTGTATGATCTGATTCCACATGAATCGAACGCCATTAATTTGATGATCTTTGATTCTAGTGCCAATCTCATTGTTAATATAAATAAATGATTGGTCGTCTTGCTTACTCTCGTTTATGATCAACCGAGATTTGTCGGAGGCAATCTGGCCATTCACTCCCAAATTTGCACGAAGTCGAAGTCTTCGGGCCTCCTGCTCCTCTTGTCGACGGATTTCGCGCTCTCTGATGTCTACAGCCTCTTTATTGCGCACGATTTCCTTGGGTGCAGCCTTTCGAGGAGGTTTGGACCTTTGCACTTGCCCAAGCAAAGAAGCCTCATCCTCACCAGCATCATCACCAAGTACTTCATCATCGTCAAACTCTTCCTCCCTATAAATCTGGTTATCCTGGGGGAACAGTGGCGCCATTTTCTTGAGGAATGCATGAAAGATATTCCAGGAGGTGTGGTTTTCTTTTGCCTTGAGCTTTGTAATTTGGGAAGGCTTTAGATCTGCTAATCGAGTCTCTTTGAGGTTTTTTATCTTGAGAAAACACAAAAACAATCTGGACACATCAAATGCCAGAGACTCCGGGGTTGTGGATCGCAGACGATCCAAGTCTTTGAGGGGATCAGATATGTGCTTCAGAATTGTGGCTTTGAATGACCCATGTGCCTCAGAGACTCGAACGTGTTCAAAAATTGCAGATCTTCGCGAGTGCCCTAGCTTCCATAGTAGAGTAATTGTTAGAGCGAACCGTTCCTTCTCTTTGGTCCAGTGGCTGATAGGGAAGCTGATGATCTTTTCGACATCTCGGTACTTTTCAGCCCATGATGAAGCTTGTGGGTGCTTAACTGACTCATCTCCGCTGGGATCTTCTTTGATCACGGGAGTGCTGTCGGGTCGCACTTTTGTAGGAGTGTCCAAGTCCACTGGGTCAACAACCTTTGTAGACCACTTAACGGGAGACGAAGCTCGGGTAGATGCGGTCTGAGTAAGATCAATATACACTGGAGACTCGGCCAGAATTGGGCTTGGTGTTCGATTGACTCTGCTGAGAATAGCAGACCGAGCCTCCTTGATTGGTGTGATTGGTGGAATGGGCTCGTCATCATCAACGATGAATGCGTCCTCATCTGAACTAGTCAGGACTTCCCCATCCGACATCTCTATATTTGTTCTTTTTGGACGTGTAACGGAGCGCTTGGGCAGTGAAATTGGCTTGGGCGGTGGGAATCGAGACTCCAGAGTGTCTGCTAACCAACACTGGTAAAGCTTGTCTTCGACATTTTGCTCCAGCAAGCGTGCCTGGAATCGAACATGCTTTTCTTTTTCCCAAGTTTGTTTCAAAATGCCTCTCTCCAATTTCTTAATCCTTTCGTCATAGAACTTGGCTTGTGCCCTAGCTTCCAAAATGCAATGCGTCTTGGCGCCCTGTTTGGATGCACCAACCCATAAAGCGTTGGCTTTGTTTAGATATCTTGGCCTCTTCTTCTCAGTCCAGTTGTTCGTCATTTCTAAAACCGATTCGTCTAGAAGTTGTCGTACTCGATCTTGTGGTAGTCTTTTCGAGGCGTTACTCCCTTCAAGATTTTCAGACATCTGAGCTAGTTCAGTCTTTTCAGCTTCCATCTCTCTCAAGGTTTCCTCATCGACTTCATCTGGGATATCATCTAGGTCCAGAACCTTATCATCTTCAGTAGATGACTGTCTCAAAGCGCCGAGGTCCACTCCAGCATCCGCCATGGCTATTTTCCTGCCGTTTTCCACCAAGACACGTCTCATAATCTTGTTGATAGCAAGCCGTCTGCCAGGGGGGAATCGGGTGGGTGCTGGTGTGCAAAGGGCATCACCTTCCCCTTGAATCTGGAGGGTTAAAGCATCTAAGTGCGATTTGACCTCCCTCTTAGAAATGGCTCCAGGTCCAAGATATGCAAATGCATCAGCAGTATCCCATGGATAAGAGTTCAAAGAATCGCTACTTATGATATCGGCCTCAGTTGCAATCGGAGCCGGCAGGGTATTCAAAGGCTCTTCTTGTATTAATTCAGGAGCAACTCGTTTTCTTTTTAGCTTCTTAACAGGACTGTTTTCGTCCACGACAGGTGACACTCCGCTGGGCAGAGACAACGATTCGGTCGTAGGAGCAGCGCCGACGTCTGTGTCATGGACCCTTCCGCTATCAGTACCAGGCATGCTCAGCCCAGGCGTGTGCAAAGTACATCCCGGATCCACTGCCTGGTGTGGCAGAGGCGTAGAAGGAAATATTTTGCTGGACTGGTTACTCGGCGTTGTCCATGGGAGAAGGCGTTGGAACCGGGGAGTCATCTGGGTTGAATACGAACCCTCCCGGTCACGGCTACGCACGTCGCGTTCTTCGTGGCTGCTGATTTCCAGGTTATCCAGTTTCCACCGGCGGAAGGCTGGGCTCCTGGCACGCAGCTTCATGATGGCCTCCCCCAAGGCATTTTTGTGTCGAGCTAATTGAACATGAAGGAGCTGGAAAAGTTCGTTCCGCAAGTCATGTGCGTTAGTGAGTCCAACGAGGTCATATGTCAAAAGCGTATGCCCATCGATTTCATTCTCCTGGAGCTTTGCGGCCAATATCTCCGGATTGCGTGTACAAGGACGGCTGAGATGACAGAGCTCATTTGCGACCGCACTCACATCCCATAGAAAGGGGTCTGTCGACTGAATTCCGTCCATTTGAAGACATGAGAGGTCTATGAGTCGCCTTTGTCTAAAAAAAAAATTACATTAGTATCAGTGACCGAGTTGCAAAGCGCATGCCGCAGGTTGTCAAAATTTTCATCTCAAGGTGCAGAGATGTGCTCAAGACCGTCAATTCAGCTATGCCACTGGGCCCGCGTATTTTCCAGACGCTGCAAATGAAAAATAAAGAACATCATATGAGGCGGGCATACCTGCGATCTAAGCGGTCTAAATACCGAAATACCCTGAAGACGCGAGGCAAGCGGGTGATGATCTAGTCTCGGCCAAGGAGAATTCACGACTACGTGAGACTGAAAAAGCGTGGCTGTTCGTGTTGTTTGGGCCGACGATTGAAAACATCATGACATTGCTCACGACAGATGTTTCACGACTGGGTGTTGCATGCCAAAGACAAACAGTCAAGGCGTCGGCGGTGGCGAAGGAAACCCAGCTTGACATAAATCGTCTGCCAGCTGCCCCACGAATCGTCGTGAAGGTCTGGCGGCTGTCGCTGGGTGACTACGAGAGAACTAGCACGTGACACAAGCGAAATCGGGGGGGGGGGGGGGGGCGGGGCGCAAGGGGGGTT